ACAACAAGAAATAATTTTGTGGATTGCGCGTGCGCACACACACATATTTAATTCTTATTACTATATATCAGAGATATAAAATGTGTTGTTATTTTCAGACATTTGTCCTTCTTGTACTCATGTTATGGGTTCAAAAATAGCCACTAACTGACTCAACCCAATAGAGTTTTATTGAATGCTAAACAGAAACAGACCAGTCAGGGCCATAATCTGGACTCAGGAGCCAGACTATGACATGGGTTTGCTCCAGACTAAGACTATGACATGGGTATATATATATATATATATATATATATATATATATATATATATACTCTAACCAGTTAACAAAACTGTAACCAGGTGTAGGAAAAAAAAAAAAAAACACAAGGTATCCAGGTGCACGTAGGAAGCAACATTACATCAGTTTGGCCCCCTAGACAAAGCATTTCTAGCTGCTCCTTAATTTGATTGGTTCTGCAGTTGGGGGACTTCATAGACTGTCCAGATAACAAACTATACAAAGTTTGAGAAATGAAACCATAGAGACATAATCAAAATGGACACTTGGAGGCAAAATGGCTTCTGATATGCTAAAGGCTACAGCAGGTATTAACAGAGGAGCCATAGTTATGCTAAGAAATAAAATAGGTCTCAAGAGAGGTGCTATGGAATTTAAGCAGGTTACAATACTCATGACATACTACTGATTAATTATAGAATTCTTTTTTTTTTCCTTTTTGGTGTAAAAGAAACCTCATTTACTATATTATTTCTTATATTCAGCCAACCAACATGGATGAAAGTCACTTGTAGTCACAGGCAGGGAAAGAGAACCTAAATGTAACTTTGAATTAAGCCAGGACATTGAGGGCCCGCCTAGGCACTCAGTTGAAGTGGAAAGTTTGGACAGTTCCTAAATTTTATTTATTGTAATTGTGGCAGCAGTTTGCATTAAGGGAGTCAGTGGATTGCTACATATGACACTTTCTTCCCACTTACCTCACAACATCATCATGAGGTATGGTTTAGGTTTTTCCAATGGGTTTGTTTTCTCAGCCACTTCAGGAGTTAAAAGGTAGGGAAAATCTTGAGGGCAACAGGTAGCATTGGGAGAAATGTCACACACAGTAGACAGTAGCAGACTAGCAGCAAAGAAAAAGCTTTTATTTGGGGTGAATACACACCAAGAGAGAGAGAGAGAGAGAGAGAGAGAGAGAGAGAGACCACCTACAAAGTAGAGGGGAGTCTTGAGAAGCTAAAGTCTAGTCTCTTCTTGAGGGCTGGGACTTTTAAAGGTCTTTGAGGGGGGTCTTCTCCCCCCCCCATTTAAGCTTGGTCATTTTGTACAGAGACAGGAAAGTTGATAAGTCCAGAAATTTGAGGTAAACAGGTTCTCTTTTGACTTTGAACTTGTTGGACTGGAAGGGGGACCTTACTTGCAAGAGAAAATAAAGCCTACCTGTTTTGTTTGTTTGTTTGTTTGTTTTCAGACAGGGTCTCTCTGTGTAGACTTGTCTGGTCTTTAGCGCACTGTAAAGACCAGGTTGGCCCCAAACTCACATAGATACAAATTAGACTTTGCTTTAATCTGCCAGTCTTTTGTCCCTGGTCAGGAGGATGAGAAAGAAGCCAGCCATCTTTAAAACTTACTATTGGCCTTCTTGCTTGGATGGGAAGGTGTCCTGGGACTCAGGATCCCAGGAATTACACAGCTCTGAGATGGAAAAGTATCCATCTCTGAAGTGGGACAGTGTCCCAGTGGAAGGGCATCTCGATACATGGGAGCCTAAGAGCCACACAGCTCTGAGAGGAGGCCTCCCCAGCAGAGGTGTTGCATCTCCCAGGGGAAGATATCCCCACCTGAGCTGAGGAGCTCGGGAGCCCCAGCCCTGCTCCATTCTTCCCTTCTTTTAGGTTGCTTCTTGCCTTCTTCCAATGACTCACACTAGGCAGCGAAGCTCATAGAAGAGATTTATAGGAGGGTCCAGGGAGTAGAGGGATGAACTCAGCAGTGGCTGCCTCTGCTCCCAAAATAGCAGCAGGGACTGAACAGACACAGCCCTTATATAGGATTTCTTAGGGGCTAGAGCATTCTAGGGCAGAGATTTGCAGGGTGAGGACTGGTGGGTTTTCAAGTCCTGAGTTTGGGGGAATCTTAGGGATTCCTAGGTTTTCCTGCTCTGAGATTAGTGGGGTTTTGTTGAGACTTTTCAGCTAATTAGTAAAATCTTGGAGGGATCCTATTGCAGGTCTGGAGTTGGCCTTTTTGACAGTTACAGAGGCTAGAACTGCCATTATGACAGAGTGGGGAAAGTATGGGGGAGGAGCCTATTGACTCTTGCCTCAAGGGGTTTATACAGTCTTGAACTCTGAGCTAAACAAAACAACTTTCCTCAAACTGTGAACTTATACTAAGGTGCCAGATTCCTGCTCCTGGTCCTTGGCTGGCAGTGCTCCCTGCCTTGGGGGAATAGCTAGTTTTTACTTTTTATTTTTACAGAGACAGCACCACAGAGTAGGTCCAATTTGACACACTTCCCTGCCCCTGTCAGCTACTGCCTTCTCCCTGGCTTCAGCTTCTCAGTTTCTTCAGAAATCTAATACCAGGTCCCAGGGCTGTGGAGATTTAGCCTCAGCAGCTCTGGAGTCCCAAGCTGTTGCTCTCTGGAGGTGTATAGAGGCCAGCAGCACAGCCTGAAGATCTGAGCACTTGTTTTCAAGGACCACAGAGGGTGGCACCCAGGGGAGCTGAAGCGGGAGAGGCCTGGTGCAAAACTTGAAGCAGCCCAGCTTGGCTGCTGGAGCTCCCCACAGGTGGGGTCCTGGACACTTTCCTGCAAAGCATACAATATTTACAAAGGGAGTTCCCTGCCTCTTGAGTCTGAGTTACTAACCAACACTTAACTATCATCCTTATGTAAACATGGCCCTTCCTTCTACCTGTCTGCCTATCCGGCAATCTGTCTAACTCCTATTCTACAGCAAGGAATGGGTAGTTTCCCTCAGGACTAGAGTTGAGAAGTGTGTTTTTTAAAATCCAAATCTTAATTGGTTTTTATGAAATCTGTAAAACCTTAAAATCATTGTTATTTCCTCTGTTCTGTGGCCTCTTTAGAAGTTTAGTACCTACCTCATCTACTGTCCACCTTCAGGTACTATTCTGGATCTGAGGGTTTGCAATTGGATGCCTTTATTCTCCCTTCATGAATTTTTCTTCTAACTCTTTAAAGTATTTCTCTTGTAGAATGGTATGTATGTTTTACTAGGCTGTTTTAAATCATTACCAGAAGATGAAGGATAAATAATGCTATCAAATTTAAAGCAGTCATTTATACAGGGTGAGGAAAAAAAAAAAAAAGGCTGGCATTTTGGAAAATAAATAAGAGCTCTCAGGGACAAGATGTACTTAATAACAGTGTTTTCTTTTACAATGTGTTTTATAACCTGAGCCTATGCGGTGGTTTGCGCATGCCTTTAATCCCGGAACTGGAGAGGCAGAGGCAGGTGGATCTCTGAGTTTCAGGCTAGTCTGGCTACAAAAAGGAACCCTCTCTCGAAAAACAACAACAACAAAACCTTTTCTCTACTCAGTGCTCCCTCTAAGTCAGGATTGCTAACCCATACAAGCCAGAAGAGGGTGGAAAGTGGAAGAGAAGGAAACATATTTACAAGTGATCACAAAATCCTGACTGCTGACATATGTAGAATCATATGGAGCTAACCTTTGTGCCACGGAGGGGAAATCTGTAACCCTTTACCCAAATGAAAATGGGATATTTTCAATAGCAATATATTGAGAATTTTATTGTGTAAGGGACTAGAGTAAATCCTCTGGTCCACGCTCCCAACTACTGCGGTTGGATCAACAGTTCAGCACTTATCAAGTGCCGCTCCACCTACCCAGTATTTTACCACATCATCTTCATTTATCTTGTCCTTGACGCAAGGAACTTCAGTATTCCTTCAGAGTTCTTGTACTTTCAGGCTATAGTCCTAGATAAATCCATTTTCAATATATGAACGAACAGCGAATGGAATGTTTTTACCTGCTGCCATACCCATTCAGAGCTTTGGGGGACAGGGATGAACTTCTGTAAGTAACCATTATTTCTGTGGGCCCCAAATGTAAATGGAGTAAGAAAGAGTAATGTAGGAGTAGAGGGCTTCTACAGAGACGAACATGTGGTACAGTCTCAACAGCCCCACAGTATGAAGGTGCCCAGAAAATGTCATAGTGGGGAATACATCGGAGCTAGAAGGGGGGTGTACTTACTCCGCACACCTGCCTAGCATTAAAGGGTGCTGAGAGGCTGCTGGAAACAGGGTTCCAGTTGGCCCTCCAGGTCTGATTAAAAGGGCATGAAAAGGAGCCCGCAAGATCATGGTTCCACCACTGGGCAAGTAAGTTTTTTTTTTTTTTTTTCTATAGATTTCTGCTTATAGATTACAGTTGTGCTTGGGCTTGGCGGAAACACGAAAAAAAAATTTTTTTTAAGCGAAGCACCTGGAAGTTTGGGTGTTTTCAAGAGGGACTTTAGGTGTCCCTTTAAGAGTGGTACTTGATCTGGGGAGAGAGGTTCAGCCAATGTGGAAGCGAACGTCGCAGATTTGGGAATTTAACAGGAGCCCTCGACATAACAGGCAAATACGCAGCCGCATGAAGCGGGTCTCAAAGGCTTGGGCACTAAGGGAACGGCTTCCACCCCCGTAGAAGAGGCAAGTGGTAGTTCTCAGAGGGAAAGGCGTGGCCTAGGCGTCTGTTGCAGCGTGAAGGCGTGGCTACGAATGAAGGCCGGGCCGGTGACGTGAGCAGAGCACGGACTTAGCGTGGGCGTGGCTTTATACTGGAGTGGGACAGCGTGGCGCTGCCGGAGGGAAAGGGCGTGGGTATATTAGTTCCTAGGTATGGTCAGGGTCCTGTCCTTGGTATGTTTGTGGGGCTACGGTGCCAAGCCGGAGAGGGCCGCAGCACGAGCTCCGGCGCTTCCGCCGGCATGGAAAGCGCGGCCGGGGCGGGACTTCCGGTTTATGGCCCAAAAGGCCGGCTGGTCCGGAGTCGTACGGGCGAGACGCAAGGAGGCGTAACTAAGATGGGCGCGCGCGTTGAAAAGGGAGCCTGGAGCCAGCTCGGAGACCGGACCCGGTAAGTGGGCGCGCAGTGAAACAGAGTGCCGGGAGCCAGCTCGGAGACCGGACCTGGCAAGTGCGGGCAACTCTGTGTAGCATTAGCAACAGCGTAGTGGGGCCTGTCTGAAAGGACAAGGACTACCCCTTGGTCTTCACACACACTATCACGCAATACCATAGTCCGGGGAGACCCGTAAGGTATAGGCCTATGAGTATTGCGGAGGTCCGTCCCAGCTTCTCCAAGGAACTGGTCAGGTATCAAACAACAAGTTTGCCAGTGCGCTCTCTTCTATAAAGGATCACCAGATGACCTTTGAGGATTTTGTCCATTTAGCTGATGAGACTGCATTTCTAGAAACCGAGCTGAAAAAGCTAGAATTCCTCCGGATCTGCATTATTGATATCAGGGAATGGATATTCACCTCCGTCTCCAGTCCTGAACTCAAGTCTGAGCCCTCTCCACTCCTCAATTTCTTATATCCTTTTTCATTTGTGCCCTACTACACAGCAAGAGAAGGGGAACTTCCAAAATGTATGTGATCCATGTGACAGTAGGCTTCAGCTACTGGGCTGAAGCTGCTGAAAACTCATTACTGTAACTCTACCTCCTTTTTTACTGAAAAAGCTTAAATACTTGGATATGTACACCTTAATTTGAATAATCTCTTATGTGTCAGTCTCTGAAAACCATTGTTGCTTTTTCTCCTGCTTTCTTTACTGTCATTCTACCAATCTCCCCATTGCCGTTCAAAATTTTTGCTGACATGTGCAGATCAATCAAAAATTACTAATGAGCAAAGCAGTCCTGTGCATCTCTCAGAGAAGTAAATACACACAGCCTGAATGGGAGCCTAGAGTGAAACCAGTTTTGCCCCACTCACTGTAGCCGTTCTTCAATATTTTGGAACTCTTTCCATTGTTTTTCTCCTTTTCTACAGGTGTTTTCAAGTCATTTTGGAATTCACTAAAAGCAACAAGTGCAGTTTTCTGTGGCTTTCCACACCTGCAATGTTCTTTCTGGAGCCAGACAGCAGGCCACCATTGATTAGCGTTGGAATGCAAGTAAGGTCAAGTGAGTTACAAATGAAAATATGTGTTAGAGAAATGGCAGGAAGAGGGAAGTGCATTACATTTCCTTTGTCGTATAGTTAAGTCTGCCACAGGGCAAAGAACTAACTACCAGAAGGAATGTAGAGTGGAGCCTCTTAGAATCATTAGTGGGAAGATGAAGAGAGAGATCTTGTTCTTACAGCATCCTCCTCCATATGTACCTAGAGTTCCACATAATCTTCAATTTATGTTATGTCATTTTTCTGCCCTTGATGTTTAGGTCCCTGCAAGTTATTTGTTATATGTCTTAGCAGGCTAAAGTAGTGACAAATAGGAAAAGTTCATTTTTAAAATCAGCTCTTCAACAATTACTGTGAAGATGGATTCTGGTTCAGAGGTCCTTGCCACCAAGGCTCTTAAAGTCTCTGTACCTGTACTTAAAGAACCTGGAACGGAGCCTATGAGTTCTCTAGTTGCCTAAGGAGAGCGAAAAAACAAAACAAACAAACAAAAAAAACACTTGTTGGGTTTATAAAATTCTCATGTTAGGAATATATACATAGGGTGATGGTGACACTCCAGTGTGGGATTATATGCCTGAAGAACTGTAAGCATGAGTAGCATGCACAAAAGTTTGATGCCATGCAGAATCCGGACGAGAACTGCAACCAGTTTCAAGTAACTCAGAGTCCAGTATATCCTGTTTGAAGTTGTCTTTTTTGGTAAGGCTGATAAATACACTGCATTTTATTTTTGTGGATGACAACTTGTCCAGAGTTTAGAATTTCATGTTTGCAAGGCAACTCAGGGTTACTTCTACCTGGCTGGTTGCTAAGTAGTGCAACTTGTTGTAAACGTGGAATATCAGGTGAATTATCAGATGGTTTTTCTAATTCCTCTCCCTATTCCTTTCTTGGTCTAGCTCGAAATAAATACTTTATTTTAATTGTGTGTTGCAGACTTCTGTATGTGGTCCCTAATGTCAGTAGAAGGCGTTAGATCACCTGGAACTGGAGTCGCAGGCAGTTAAAAGCAGCCTGACATGGTACTAAGACTTGAACTCAGTCCTGTGGAAGAGCCTTTGACCATGAAGCCATCTCAACCCCAAGAGGTAATTATTTTCCATTGTTGTGTGACTTCCTGAGCACTGTAGCTATTGAGGAGCCTTTCTGATGTATCAGTAGCCCCTTCCCCAAAATGATCACATTCAAAAGTGTCTCAGGACATTTCCAGCTCTCCCCTGAGAAGGAGGGCTAAATGATGCTTTAGAAAACTGCTGACATTAGAGGGGACACACTCAAATGTGTATATATGAATGATGATGAGTTTATTGAAATGGCTAATATCTTTTAAACAATGATAATGTTTTAAGAGCCCAGATTTTTCAACTTTTCTTTGCAGTTTATTCTTTAATGTAGGAAAAGGAATTCATTACCAGTGCTGGTTAAATTACGTCATGCCCGGCTCTTCTGGTGATTGTTAATGCTCTTGATCTCTGTACCTTTAGAAAAAAAGCAAAACATGGCTTACAACTGAGATTCTAGGGAGGCCAAGGCATCAGGAATTTTAAGACATACTGGGCTACATAGCTATGAAACTCTCTCTCAAAAAGCAAAGCATAATAAATAGACTTGAGTGTGACTCTCTAAAATGTGCCCACAAGTCATTTGTTTTTTACAAGTACATTTTAATTTTAGTAAACTTTATAACTGGCTGTGCCTACTCCTTGCTATATTTATATTGCACACTTTTATCTTCAGAGAAGGTTGTATCCCATAACACTACTGTTGTTCTGCCCAGTTCGTGAGACCCACAAAGACCACCAAGAATCAACTTGCTGCAAATACATGAGGGTTCATTGTATACATGAGGGTTCATTGTATACATGTTCGAACATGGGTCGCAAACTTCCTGTGGAAGCTGGAGAGAAATGCGATGCTGCAGTCTAGGGGAACAAGGTTTTTAAAGAGGAAAACAACACCAGCAGGGACTTACATGCTTTGGCGTTACATGATTGGTAAGGGAAATTGACTTTTGAAATGATTGGTTTATTTTAGGCGTCAAGATCATACGCGGTTCTGGCTTGGCCATCTGGGCCGGTTTCCTAGCAGTTGTATCTCTAGTGGACAGGAAAAGAATACAGTAAAACTAGTTTCTTTCCCCAGGTGGCTGGACATATCTACACCTAGCTACCCTTCATTCAGGCTTATGCTTTAAACTTTAAGCAAACATCCAAAATTCTTTGGTCTCTCACTGTTTTCCCGGTTTTCAGATTAATATTGAAGGCCACCAGACTTGGAGAGCACGGGTATTAACAGGCTTGCTTTGTGAAGTCTTCACAAAGAATTCTGATACAGGATGGAATGCCCAGACTCTTCTTTCATTAACTTTCCAATAACCTTGTAAAACAATAGCTGTATTAAGAATGCCTTAAAATTCCTTGAGTTTAAGGCTATCTTCAGTTCCCTGGGACTAACGGGAAGCCCTGGAGCTAAGCATAGGAAATGCAGGCTTTGTTGCCTATGCTAGTAATGGCATGTGATTCCTCTGGGTCCTCAATTCAGAATTAGAGTTTTCCCCACAACCCTGATAATCCAGCAAAGCTTCTGTGATTGTGAGTAAAGCCTTAAGAGGAGCCTTTGTAGCTTCATAAGGAAACCAACAAAACCAACAGATCTGGGCCCAGGGGTATCCTGCAAAGACTGATGCACCCACCAAGGAGCATGCTTGGAGAGGACCTAGAACCCCTGCTCAAATGTAGCTCATAGACCGCTCAGTCTCCATATGGATGCCTAGTAAGGGGAACAGAGACAGTCTCTGACATGGACTCTGTTGCCTGCTCTTTGATCACTTCACCCTGGCAGGTGTCACCTTGCCAGGTCACAGAGGAAGAGGACCTGTCATCACAGGCCTGATGACACTTCATAGGCTAGAATCAGATGTAGTGGAGGAGGGCTCCCCCTTTCTGTGGACTAGGATGCTAGGATGGTGGAAAGAGGGAACAAGGGTGGGACCAGGAGGAAATGAGGGAGGGGTCTACAGTTGGGATGTGAAATGATAAGATGAGCCTTTATACCCCATCTTAAGGCCAAAGCCTACAAAGATGATCTTTGGTTCTTTGGGAAAAGCACAACCCTCATGAAAAAGAGGTCAATGATAGCTGAGAGCAGTGCTGTCTGGCAGGTGGGAGATAAGCCACAATGATCATTCTCATTTTTCTAATAAGTTAGATAGGGGAGGAGGAAACTAATCTTGATAATTTGTTGTTTGATTTTTGAGCCAGGGTCTTATTATATAGTCCTGCCTAGCTTGGAACTCACAAAGATCTGCTTTCCGCTGCCTCCTGAATTATAGGTTAAAGACATGTACCACCAAACGTAGCAATCTATTTTACTTAATTTGTATAAAGTATTTATTTTGTATAATCTTCTTAATGCATAATCAGTATAAGAATTATTTTTAAATGAATTTTTATAGCAGGTCTTCACAGCCTGATAGATGTGTTCCATTTTTAGCACCTCTCGCTTTGGACTGACCAAGGAGAGCAGCAGAAAGAAACCAGAGACTGAGAAGGAAGGAAGAAATGGGGTAAGGTAAGGTGGGCTTCAGTACATTGTACAACAGTATCCAGCATGAACACACTGGGTAATTGCCACGTTACCATGATGGCATGGGTAATTTCAGGAAACTGCTGAGAGTCAGGGCACAGATGTAAAAGGGTAAGAGTGAAGAAGTTTCTGGGGATGTCTGGGGTCTAGAGACCTGAGCTTTGTTGGTTGTCATGGACAAGGATGGAAAAAGATGACCTTGAAATATTCTAAAAAAGAACTAATCTGATCGTTGTGGTAATTGGGAATCAAAGCTAAATTAGAGGGACAGTCAAATCATTCTAGTGATTCTCTTTGTCTTCTTGCTCAGTCAATCCACAAGTTAGGGTGTGTTTTTCAGACTAGGAAAAGGCCCTCACTAAAATATTTTTTCATGTCAGTGTACCTTTGCTTACTTACTCCATGACTGATAAAAGCCACGGTCTCCATTTCTTTTCTGCTATAAGAAAAATTGTTTAGAACATATTCTACTTTGAAGGAGAAAGAGAACAGAGGGAGAAATAAGAGTTTTAGCATTTTTAATTAATTCATTTTTTTATTAATTACAGTTTATTCACTTTGTATCCCATCTATAGCCCCTCCCTCATCCCCTCCCAATCCCACTCTTCTCTCTTCTCCACCCATGCCCCTCCTCCAGTCCACTGATAGCAGAGGTCCTCCTCCCCTTCCCTCTGGCCCTAGCCTATCAGGTCTCATCAGGATCAGCTGCATTGTCTTCCTCTGTGGTCTGGTAAGGCTGCTCCCCCATCAGGGTGAGGTGATCAAAGAACAAGCCACAGAGTTCATGTCAGAGACAGCCCCTGCTCCCTTTACTAGGGAACTCACTTGGACACTGAGCTGCCATGGGCTACATCTGAGCAAGGGTTCTAGGTTATCTCCATTATATTCCTTGGTTGAGTATCAGTCTCAGAAAAGACCTCTGGGCCCAGATTTTTTGTTTCTGTTGCTATCCCTGTGGAGCTCCTGTTCCCTCCAGGTCTTTATCTCTCTCTTTCCTGAGTGCAAGATTCCCTGAACTCTACCCGAAGTTTGGCTCTGAGTCTCAGCATCTGCTTTGATACCTTGCTGGGTAGAGTCTTTCAAAGGCCCTCAGTGGTAGGCTCCTGTCCTGTTCCCTGTTCTCTCCCTCTTCCGACGTCCATCCCATTTGCCTTTCTGAATGAGGATTGATCATCTTACTCAGGATCCTCCTTCTTGCTTAGCTTCTTTAGGTATACAGATTTTAGTATGTTTATCCTATATTATATGTCTAATATCCACTTATAAATGAGTAAATGCCATGTGTGTCTTTCTGCTTCTGGAGTATGTTTTATCTTTTTAGAAGAGCAAGCCATTGGCAAAGAGCTGGTGAAGAACCAGCCTGCCTTCATCTTAGGCTTAAAAGCCATGTTATAGTAAAGACAAACTAGGTTCATTCCTGTATATGATTAAACCTCTGTTTCTCAAAGATTGGGCTATGCCCTACCTATAGCCATAAATATGAACGATTCTCTACTGCCTGTTCCAGGATTGGCAATCATGCCTTTTCTTCAAAAAGTTGTTTGTAACCATCTCGCAACCCTACATTTGTTGCAAATGTTATGCGACCACCTATGAGTACCTTGCTCTGTCCACCTTGCAACCATGGCTTTGTTTTAGGAGGAACTAACTTATTACACTTATGTTCTGTTCCTGTAATCCTGCCTATTTTGCCAGCCAAATCACCCCATTTGGAAAACCCTACCTCTGAGTTATAAAAGCCTTCTCTTCCTCATATACAATGCTGACCTCTTGAACCCCACCTTAGGGAGAGGCAGCCCATGTGTATGAGTTTTTCACACACACACAAATGCTAGCTTAAATTAATTGACTACTTTGGCCATGATGATTTGGGTTAGTGTTCTTTCTCTTCCCATCTTTGGGGTTAACATGGATCAACCAAGAACCTGGTGAGAAAGTACTCCAGTCAGTGCCTAAGTAAAAGAGGAGGTGAGTATGCAGAAATAAAATAGAAATGAAACTGGCAAATATGATGCTGACATTATAGCCAAAAAAGGCTACTTAAAAGTGTAGGCTCAAGTCTCTCAGGCTGGTGGGTATATGTACATGTGTAGAAAAGTGGACAGTTTCCATTTCTTTTCTTCTTGTTGTTGATTTTCGAGATTGGGTTTCTCTGTATAGACCTTGCTGTCCTGGTACTCACTGTATAGACTAGCCTGGACTCAAACTCAGAGATACACCTCTGAGCATCTGCTTCCCTACTGCTGGGATTAAAGGGGTATACCACTACCACCTGACCCCATTTCCATTTCTTAGAGTGTTAAGTGATTATAGATGATTAAGCATCATCACGGGGACCTCTTGACTATTCCATTTCTTTCCCAGTTTTAACAAAAACCTTATTCACTGGCTCTGAAGAGTCTGTGGCTATCAGGTACAATATGCCAGAAAGGAAGATATGGTCTCTGTGACAGACGCCCTTAAAACAAAGTAAGCGGTGTGTAGTGGCCCTGGAGAG